TGTTGTTCTACTGCCTGTTTAGCTCCATTCACCTCGTTAATTGAGGACTCACACATGGGCTCCCCCTGTTGTTAGATATAATAGCAAAAATATAAAGTTGGTCCCCTTAAATCAGCTCTGCTCTGCTTTTGTGTTTTACCCAAATTTTAACTGATTCATGTCCAATTTCCCCCGTTAGCTGGGAGGCTAACTAGCACGAAGCTAGCACTCAAACATGTGAAGCTCCAGCACATCTTTTTAAATGCCACAGTTAAAGATATTTTTTTTTTCAAAAACAAAACTATCTGCTGTTCCAGTCTATCTGGTTTATGTATGGTTTAAACTGTGTTTATTAATGGTTATTAATTAGGTCATAAACATCATTAATAAACAGTTATAACAGATAAAGGGAAGAAGTGAGCTGTTCTATATGACTATGACAGGTTTAATGCTGACTGATGGAGAAGATCAGTGACCAGCTAAAGCTGAGATTTAACAGTACAAATGATCACTATTAGGCAAACGACAGGTCAGAGCTGCCTTTTATATTGGTGTGTTGTAACCGATTTTGGTACCACTTTAGAATAAGACTACCCTTATAAGTGGTTTATGAATGGTTTAAAATGAGTTTATTAATGGTTATTAATTAGGTCATGAACACCTTAAATATTACTAGTAAACAGTTATAACACATTAATAAAAGGGTAAAACATGAGCTGGTATATCTGATGAAGCTAACACTTATAATGCTAGAAGAAGACAAAGTAAGATCAGCAACCAGCAAGAATTGCGGTTTATCTACACACATAAAAAATTACGGTTCTTTAAGGGTTCTTTGGTAAAGAAATTTGTTCTATATAGAACCATGAACACTCAAAGAACCCTGTGCATGATTAAAGGGTTCTTCACATCGTGAAATGGTTTGTCAGATTGATGGAGAATAGAACCTTTTTGAAAAGGGTTCTATATAGCATCCAAAAGGGTTCTTCTATTGTAACAAGCCTGACATCACAACAATAGAGGAACCTTTTTGGTGCTATTTAGAACCCTTTTCAGCACATTCTCCATCACTCTGAAGAACCCTTTCATGATGCGAAGAACCCTTTAATCAAGTAACGGGTACTTGGAGTGTTCATGGTTCTATATAGAACCATTTTTTTTTACTAAAGAATCTTAAAGAACCATCCTTTTTAAGTGTGTATATAAATGAATGCGGTTTCACTATTAGGCAAATAACAGATCACTGCTGCCCTTTTTTTGTTATAACTGCTTATTAATGATTTTTAAGGTGTTTATGGCCTTATTAATAACCATCAATAAGCTGATTTTAAACCATTCATAAACGCTTTATAAGGGCCTGTTTTTTAATGATTTTAAGGTGTTTATGACCCAATCAGTAACTAACTAATAAAACATTTGAAACCATTCATTAACACTTTATAAAGGTAGTCTTATTGTAAAGTAATTGTAAATTTAGCTTTACAGTGAATAGACAGTGTTGTTAATGGGGTGTTTTCCCCGTTTTCCTCTACCCCACCAATCATCACACACTTGCCTCAAACCACGTTAAGTCGTTAAGTAATAGATAAAAACTGCACCAGCCATCCTTACGTCTGAATTTCGTCCGTATTTTAGTTCATGTTTATAGATAACAGCGTGTCATACAGTGTCAGAAACCACATAAGCAAGTCTTGGCTGATGGACTACATGGTCATTCTTTCTATGAATGTCATGTTTGTAAGCATCTATAAACACATTTATAACATGTTATAATGCATTCATAAGGCATCATAAACATGGTTATAAATGTTTAGAAAAATGAATTACACTGAATTACACTTTATAGCCATGTTTATTATACTTTCTGAATTGTTAATATAATGCAGTATAAATAGTGTTAATAACATGTTATACTGTCAGTGCTAAAGAAGTCAGTCCCAGCTTGGAGAGCGTAAAGTAAAGACAAATACAAAGTTTATTTACGCCCTGAGATTTCCAGTATTTTTTTTTTTCACTGTTGGTGCTGTTAGGGCTGCATCTTTAGGGCTTCAGTCCAGAATATTGAGATGCTCCAAACAGTGCTAATTTCTGCTGGCATTCTATTGGATATGCAGTGTTAAGTGAGTGCCAAGCTAACGGTGGTGTACATTACCTTTCCCACATTGGGTAAAACACTGATGCAGCGCTAGTTTAAACTCTGACATTTGAAGCCTGTAATGTGCTTTACTGTGAATGTTTTAGTGTTTCAGTAAATCCTTCAGTAAATACTTCAACTTGAAGCCTCACTCTGAACACTGGAGGAGGCTTTAGTACAGTATGCTTCACTTTACTTAGAGCAGACAAATACGACTTATGAGCTCTTATAATGTTATGAACAGTACTTATAATGTACTATGTTAACAATTCATAATGCATAATCAGCATGGCTATAACGTGTAATGCATTTTTAAATTAGTAAAGTATTTATAGCCATGTTTATAATGCCTTATGAATGCCTTATAACATGTTATGAATGTGTTTATAGATGCTTACAAACATGACATTCATAGAAAGTGTTATTGAGTACATTTGCGGTGAGTGAAAAGTAGTGTAAAATAGATTTTTTTTTCCCCCAGATTATTGCTTTAAACAGGATGAAAATAAAGGCAAACAAGCCATTATGTGCATAAGAGTTTCCCGTATGGTTGCAATCTTTTATTTCAGGAGAGGAGCTGCTGCGATGGAGCCCAGTTTCAAAACCAATCATGGCTACTTTCACCACAAAGCTGTTAAATCGGCCTTTCTCCACCTTCCATGTCTCGCATGCAGGAAATGTACCAGGTGGCTGTGATTAAACCGACATTACAGCTCTCTCACTATTTCATCCTGATGTTTCAACACAGAAGGCTAGCTCTGCTATCCAGTTACCCATGACTCACTCCTCTCGTTAGGGAACAAATGGACCACTGTTTATCAAAAGTACGTTGATCTCATAGATACCAACACAGCTAAATATTAAAGTTCCAGGGGACAGAAGTGTGAAACGCTACACCGATCAGGCGTAACATTATGACCACCTCCTTGTTTCTATGCTCATTGTCCATTTTATCAGCTCCACTTACTATATAGGTGCACTTTGTAGTTCTACAGTTACAGACTGTAGTCCATCTGTTTCTCTGCATACTTTGTTAGCCCCCTTTTACCCTGTTCTTCAGTGGTCAGGACCCTCATGGACCCTCACAGAGCAGGTACTATTTGGGTGGTGGATCATTCTCAGCACTGCAGTAACACTGACGTGGTGGTGGTGTGTTAGTGTGTGTTGCGCTGGTCTGAGTGGATCAGACACAACAGTGCTGCTGGAGTTTTTAAACACCTCAGTGTCACTGCTGGACTGAGAATAGTCCACCAACCAAAAATATCCAGCCAACAGCGTCCAAACATCACTTTTTTCCCCAATGGGAAATTCTAATCTAACTGCCACAAATAGCAACCCCCTGGGTATCATAGCAACAGTATAGCAACACCTTAGCAACCACCTGGACTTCCAGGGCAATGACCTAGGAACACATTAGCAACCACTGGGGATTCCACAGCAATGGCCTAGCAACATCTCAACAACCACCTGTGATTCCATAGCAATGGCCTAGCAACACCTTAGCAACCACCTGGGATAGCAAAGCAACACCTAAGCAACCACCTGGGATACGATAGTAATGGCCTAACCACACCTTAGCAACCACCTGGGACACCATAGCAAAGGCCTATCAACACCTTAGCAATCACCTGGGATACCATAGCAATGACCTAGCAAAATCTTTGCAACAACCTGGGATAGCATATCAATGATCTAGCAACACCTTAGCAATGGCTAATGGCCTGGGATACCACAGCAATGGCTTAGTAACACCTTAGCAACCACCTGGGATACCATAGCAATGGCCTAGGAACACCTCAGCAAACACCTGGAATTCCACAGCAATAGCCTAGCAACACCTCAGCAAACACCTGGGATATCAGCAATGATCTAACAACATCTTTGCAACCGCCTGGGATACCATAGCAATGGCCTAGCAACACCTTAGCAACCACCTGAGATAGCATAGCAATGGCCTAGCAACATCTTTGCAACCACCTGAGATAGCATAGCAATGATCTAGCAACACCTTAGCAACCGCCTGGGATACCATAGCAATGGCCTAGCAACACCTTAGCAAACACCTGGGACACCATAGCAATGATCTAACAACATCTTTGCAACCACCTGGGACACCATAGCAATGGCCTAGCAATGCCTTAGCAACCACCAGGGATAGCATAGCAACATCTTAGCAACCACCTGGGATAGCATAGCAACACCTTAACAACCATCTGTGATACCACCACTGTGGCCTAGCAACACCTTAGCAAATAACCTGGAATTCAAAGCAACGGCTTTGTCAAGTCAGCTTAAAGTTTGTTCAGGAACTTCCCTTCCAGTTAAATTTACTACTGGATGTGCATTCATGGAATGCTGCGGTGGTCAGCTGAATGACCAAACAGATGGACACACAGACGGACGGACAAAAAGACGAACAAATGAATGAACGATATGCAGACAGACTGATAGGTCAGCTATGCTTCCCAGGTTAGCTTTCGCTTGGTTGTTAGCTTCCAGTCAGCGTCTCTGAACTTGAACACAGTTACGGGGAACAGTTGTATGGGTGGGACGACGCACCTCAGCCTTGTGATTTGTGAAGGGGACTACTTACCTAAATGCTACCCCAGGTTAGGACCACCCAGTTTAGAGCGCAAGAGAATTATTTGGTGAAATACCTCGGCCATTTATTGGACATCGGAAATTTGTTTACAGGACATCCTTTGTACATGTACTGTATACTATGTGCCCAAAACAGCAAAACTAACCCATTTAGGAAGAGAAGACGTTCTCTGGGGCTTTAAAGAGTGACTTTTGACCAAGACCCTTCAATTCACTTCACTTCAGTGATCCTGAAAGTTCAGCCGAAACTTTTATCTTCAGAGAATTCATGAAACATTTTACTTACATGCGGTTTCTACGGCTGAGCACACAGAGGACTCATTGCTAGCCTCGTCAGCAATCTTGCACATCTTTTGTAGTCTGAGAAGAGAAAAAAGCGCAAAATTATGAATAATTTTCTCAGATTTCTTTCATTTCTACTACATTACAGTCACACTGAATCCCATAGTACAACAATGCAACATAATAAATAAATTTAATATATAAATATAATAAATTAATTTAATAAAACAATTAAACTATCCATTTCATTACCATTGGTTTAACTTAAAAACTGTACACTTAAGATGGTTCTTCAAGGGTTCTTAAGTAAAGATAATGGTTCTATACGTAACCATGAACACTCAAAGAACCATTTTATGCTTAAAGGGTTCTCTGCATGGTAAAATGGTTCTTCAGATTGATGGAGAATGTGTTGAATGTGGTTCTATGCAGAACCTTTTTGAAAAGGGTTCTACATAGCACCAAAAAGGCTCTTTATTATTACAAACTTGACATCTTAACAATAGCAGAACCCTTTTTGGTACGATACAGAACCATTTTCAAAAAGGTTCTACATTCAATGTAGAAAACAGTCTTCGTCAGTCTGAAGAACCATTTCACCATGCAAAGAACCATAAAATTGTTCTATATAGAACCACTGAAGAACCATCTTGTAATGGCACTTGTTTTATCCTAATCTAACTTTTAATTTTTTATTTGATTTTTTAAACTATCCTAATTTAATTTCTAATCTGATTTTTAATTTAATGGTTTTCTCTTTTAAATCTCTGGTTTTAATGTTTTTAACGTCTCGTTTACTTTTTTTAAACAACTCTGTTTTCTGACTCTGTATTTTTTTCAATTGCAAAGCACTTTGAATGACAGCAGTGTATGAAAGGTGCTATGTAAATAAACTTACCTTCCCTATTTAAACGCTTTAATGTTCTGCTCAACCATTTAATAGAGCACATTTTGAGTCACTATATATGCCACAAAGTGCCATCTTGACAGTTTGGTAGACGTGAATATTTTAAAAATTGTGGGGTTAAAAAAAAAATGTTTTTAATCATTGCCCCAAACAATAAAAAATAAAAAATAAATAATATAAAATATAAAGTTCCATTGCTTTTTTCTTGGTGAGGACATTAAAGGGTTAAGGGTGCACTTCCTGTAAAAACAATCATTTTTTTCCCAAGTTCAGTTCAGAGCTGTGTAAAAATATCTAAAGCTAATTATCTGAATAGTTACTGGTGTTTTTGAATAACAGAGAAAAACATGTAATTGTTTCAAAATGCACTGTTCCCTCTCCAGTCCTCACAGCCCAGGTATGGACACTGTCAGGGACTCGCTGGTCCATCTTTGCCCTTGGTGGTTTCTGCCCCAATCTGGTCTGTTTTCTGTGCCGAGTGTTTTTTGTTTTGTTTTTGTTTTGGATTTTGTCTCCTCCCTTGTCCTGCCCCCCGTCATCGTTACCCACCAGCGTGTAGTTTTACCCACCTGTGTTTAGTTTATTGCCCAGCCTTCTTTTACTGTTCTAAGGTGTCTCTGGTCATTAGTGTGTGTTTATATACCCCCTTGTGTCCATTAATCTCTGGCCAGCTTTCATGTTTGTTACCCTGCTTTTGTAGTTTGCAAATGATTCCCTTGTTTTCACAGCTTCGTATGTTTTGTGTTCAGTATTTAGCCTTGTGTTTTCTATGCGTTTCTCCCGGACGTCTCCTCGTCTGCCTCGCCAGGCTTGTTGTTACAGAAACTAAGCTGCAAGAACAGCCCGCTTTGAATTCATTGTGTTTGTGATGTCATGAAAAAAGCTAATTTACATACATCCACCTATTCAGCCTAAAGCAGTTTAGCCCCGCCCACTCATGCTGATGTTATAGAGTGATTCAACCTTATTGTAAAAATGATTTGATGTTTTAACTTAGTTAGTGACCTGGTTGCCTTAAAATTCACTGAACTTCTAATATGAAGTTAAAACAACGATAATCTGTTTTTGTTACAGTCTGTTCACTTCTTGTTTTAAGGTAAATGAACTTTTTGAAAGTTCTAAGGCAACCGGATCACTAACCATAAAGCCAGGCGTACACTGTATGATTTTAGCCCGATTTTAGCCCGATTTGGTCAGAGCCGACTGAATTTCATGATCAGGCCGAATTTCAGTTTCATCGGCCGTGGTTCGCTGTGCAGTGTGAGAGGAGAAAAGATGCCTGATTAACTGGCCAAAAAAGCTCCACTTGAGCAGTCGGACAATCAGATGGGTTTCTGACATGTCAGAAGTTTGGTCACTTGTCTCATAGTCTGAGCAGCCTCACGAACCGATTTCTCAAAGTCGCACCCAAAACCACACACAATCACACCCAGCACTCCTACACGGCACCAGCGTCCGTATATGCCGACTTTGCTCCGTTTGAGTTGAATTGCGAGGTGTAAATAAATACAGTGTTTTTGTCTTTGTAGAGCTGTCTGTCTGTAGACCACCTGGTCTTCAGCTTCAGTGCACAGAGTGGCACAAGTTAGCATGGCTGTTTTAGCTGTTAGTCAAAGGCTGAATCTGGCTTTTACACCAAAATAGTGCCCTCTTTGTCCAGTATAGACAACTGCGCACACATGGCTGAATCTCAGAAGGCTATTTATTAGACATGTGATGCACTTTATTGGTGCAGGAGCAGCTATTTTAATATGTGGTGCACTATGTAGGGAGCAGGGAGCCATTTAAAATTCAGCCAGTGTTTCTGCTCGGGACTCGGAGGCGGAGCCTGCTGTTTTGAACGGAAAGGCTTTATCGGAAATTGTCTGTAGACAGAGGTGACTGTAGTGGCTGTGTTTCATGTGCAGTGTGAGCATCCATGTCGCGTCATGTCAGTCGGGCCGAGTGTTTCTGTACAGTGTGAGTGTATAAATCACAGGCTTTGTCTGAACACGAGGGGCGATTCAAACGTACAGTGTGAGTCACCAAAGAACAAGATTGGGCTGCCTTAAAATTTTGATTTGATTGAATTGTAACAGTAAGTTAACGCAAAAAGAGTCTGTGCCTTAACTTGTGTTGACTTAGAATTTCTTACAAGACTTACAAGTTTAATAGCCTCAAAATTTTAAAGCAAAAATCTGGTAAAGAAATTTTGAGTGCATTTTCCAACCTCTCTTTATCTTAGAATTGTTTTTGTTACTGTGTCTTTAAGACTGATACATACAAATATTCTGTTCTGATTGATTTAAAAATCTCTTAATCTACACATTCATAACTTTACTGATGAAAACACTCTGTTGCGTTTTACTGTAGTCATGTTTACATGTACTTATTCTAACATCATACAGTGTTTTCATTGGCTGAAACACACTTACTTCCCCAGATAAACAGTTTTAAACAATTTTCATGAGCCAAAGACTTTTACACAGTCTCTGGTTCAAATGAAGCAAAACAAAATATTCTTCATTGCTTTAATTCAGATCTCAAACCACTTCAACTCAACCTCCATCCTTCTGTTTTTTTTTTCTACCGTCTCTCCTCTACGCTGAAAATTCCTGGATTTGAGTGGCCACTCATGCCACTATGAGTGCAGGTGAGATGGACACTGCAAATGGACTTGTTTCTCTCAACCAGTAATACACTTGATTGACTCAAATGGACTAAAGTGGGGCTCATATGCTGAATGGATCCACTTATAAAGGTACATATGAGGCCGAAGCTTCGTGCAGTCATCCTGTTCCAAACCCTGTTCCTCGTTCTCGCGCTCTCTCTGTCTTATCGCTTTTCTCTCTTTCTTTATCACAATGTCAAAACTGTACAGAGCACATAATATCAGCATACATGGAAATGCTTTCACATTTCATTCACACAGTTAGGCTGTTTTTCCACAGCACATTCAAAAAACAACTGACCCAAACAGGACCCAACGCAACTTACAGCTCTAGGCCAAGTTTTTGGTCATTTTGTGTCACTTTAAAGCGACTAATCTGGATAATTAGCAATGTTGCTTGCTGATTATAGTTAGTTTTACTTATTAGCTGACTTGAAACAATATACTACACCGTTGTTCGCTCACACGCTCGCAGAAATATCAGCTTTAGGAATCAAACATAGCTTATATTTTTCTGACGAGGGTGAAAGTATGAGTAAAATGCTTGTTCTGTGGAGGCTCACAAAATAAGGTTGCCAGATTTCAGCTGTGGCAAAATCAGACACCCGCATATTAAAGCAGGCGGGAGTAGGACAACACACACTCAATTAACAATCCCACAAATTAACGGTTAGCCTAAATAAAATGATAATCACATGACAAGTAGCATATATGAATAATGCATAACACAAAAATAAGGAAATTAAAAACTCATTGCAAATAGTTGTGAGACAACTAATTATGTGAACAACCCATGTACTGTATCCTTTTAGAGATTTCGGACAGTCAGATGGCCACAGCTGTGGAAATACAATACAGCCAGCTAAAGGAAAGTTTTACCCATGGCAGTCATTTTCAATCGTCACGAAAGCTGAATTTACTCTGAATGTGGCAAATTCACCGTTCTACACTATCAAACACATTATTTTCAAAGGGAAGCGCAGATTTTTGCAGCATGGTGCTCGGTGGAAAATAGACGGAGGAAAACGGCTCTGCAACTCGCCGCCTTTAGGGTAATGTAAAGTAATGTAAAGTTCAAATGTTTCAATGTTTGCACAGCTCACTTCAGCCAAGTCTCAGTTTGTCCAATAGGAGAGCAAGTTGTCTGTGTCACTACTTGAAAGGTTAGTTTAATTGGAGAGCGTCGCCCAATCATGTACAACCGGTGAGCGAGGCACATTCTGCATTCAGTGTGAAAGCAGCTTAATGCTAATAGAAACCAGCTGTACGGTACAGCGGGCAGGAGCAGGACAAAACCTTTGGGCTGCAGGCAGGAGCCAAACAGTGCAGATTTTCTGTGGAAGCAGATAAAATCTTGAGGCAGTGGGCAGAAATGGGACTAAAAAACTGGCCCTGTGCAGACCTCTACCTGGAAGTAAAGGCGTAGCTATGGTCAGGTCTGGGTGGGCCTGGTGGTACCCAGACTGATCACCAGCCTACCCAATCAAATGGGGACAGAATATCTATTAAGCTGCATCTTTT